TCACTGGGCAGGGCTGAAACCCTGCTGCTGCTGCCACTGAGGCCATGCTCCGGCCTCTCAATCCCCACCCATTGCTTTTCATCAGGTCACAAGGATGCATGGCCAGATGCTGCCTCCCTGCCCACCCCGTGCAGTACGTGGTTCCCCAGCAGCCCACCCCCCGACTCCAGGGAGCTCTCGGTAATATAAAAGTAACTGCTGAGTGCAGAGGAGAGCCACAGTTCAGCACTCCACTTTCAGCATTGACCAAATTTGCACCTTGCCAGAGGGGGCCATTCCTCAAGGGTGGGGTTGCAAAGAATGTTTTTAGGAAAGGTTTGTTTGCATTTGCATGTTCCCAAAATGGTTCTAGGGCCAAACCCATCCTGGCTGCTTTTCAAAGCTGTATTTGCCATCAAATAACACACAAAACTAAGCAGCAAGTTCTTAAAATATTCAGAAAATGGGTTCACTTTTTGCCCATGTTATTTCACAGAAACCTTCCGACAAAGTTAAGGAAGAACAGAGTTGTTCATTATACACAAGAGGAAACTAAGAATGTTATCAAAACCAGGGGCCAGTCCTAGCAGCATAACAGGCTCCATCCACACCTCTTCTTTGGCCGCTCATCCCTCAGAAGACCTGTCCTTGAGCTGATACCACTCCTTGACTGAATGCCCCAGCTTTCCCACATGGAGGGAACTGTGGGAAAGCAGCACAACGCAGCCCTCCACAGCAGCTCCACAGCAGCTCAGAGGAAGCTGTCATTAAGTTCAGAGTAGAGATAAAACAGCAAGTCTTGAAGAATGCATTCTGATGCACAATAGTTTTCACTTTCAAGCATTTTTCCCCTCTAGCATTAGCATACATTAATTTTGTGCATACTTAATGTGTAGCACCAGTCAGGTTGGAGCAGCATTAGGCATTTGGCTCGAAATTCAGGTGTCCATGTAACATCAGGCCCTGGAAGTGAAACTAGGGTGACATTTTCCAAAGTATCTAAATTTGCTTCACTCTCTAAGTTCTACTGAAACTTGCTTGAGGTGAATTTAATGGAACTTTCAGGCACCCAAATCTCTTCCATGTTAGATTCTGTTCTCAAATTTAACAATAAAAAAACTGCCTGGAAAGTCTGAGCTGTTGAGTATAAAGCAGGAATCTGGATAGCACAAACACGAGCATATCTGAGCACAACTCCTTTGAACAGTAAGGGTTAACTGCACTCATGGTCACACAGCAAATCAATGGGCAAACCTGAAGCACTGCCCTCAGGGCGTATTACATACAATCAGATGCAGGAGTAATTGAAGAGGCTTAAAAGTAGCATTACATCAACTTAAAGTATGGCTAGAAAAAAGCATAAGGAGACCCAGTGATTTGCTGAAAGGGAAGAAGAGTCAAGAGCAGAGCTGACGTTTGGCCTGAACACCTTATTTCATCACACTGGTAGCCTAGCACTGGAAAATCTGCTACTAACTTATACTGTGTAGAACTTCTGGTTTTAGTGTCATCATTTTCACTGTCCACTAAAGGAAATACTGAAGTTCTGAACTCAAAAAGAACCTCGCACTGAACATCAGCTTTGACACAAGACGCCCAGTGCCTTGACTCGGACCTCGCACAGGGCTGACAGCAGCTGCTGGGCAAGCTGTGCCTGTGTGCAGCATGAGAACCAGACCTGTGAACCTGAGAACCAGACTGGCCCAGCAGGGCACTCACCAGCCCTACCTGACATCTCACTTCTCATTTCAGCTGCCAAAACTGCATCTACAGTTTTGAAGTATTTCCTGTTTCCTAATTTGAATGGTTCCCTCGGTCGTTTTTCCACTCAGATGCTCAAGCATTTTTGGAAAACATCTAAACAGGAAGAGAGCTGACCTCTTCTCCCTGAACATCGTGTACTCGCTTCTCCTGGCACCAGAACATAACTCGAGTGCCAACTCCCACAGTGACTCCAGGACACGCTGAGGGGTGGATCCCTCACCATGCAATTGACATTGGCACTGCTTGCATGCTTGGAAGGGTGGCATCATCCAGCAGGTCTGCTTCTCTGGGATGGTGCTGGTCCAGGCACCAGGTCAGGGAGGAGCCACCCCACAGCCACCACAATCTAGGGAAGAATGCCCACGGACTCACGTGGTCTGACAGTGGGCCAAATACTTATTTCTGGTAGATATTAGGCAGCTCCTCTCCCATACAATTTTACATGGCACAAAACCCTTTTGGGGTTTTGGCCAGCCAAGTCAGAGGGAGCTGCGTGAGCATGTGAGGTGCCAGGAGGGATCTGCTTGCTAAATTTGCTTGCTATGCTCTGGATTCAGCTCTTCTGCTGGAGTAAATCAAATGCTGACACAGAACAAGAGTGAAAAGTACATGAGCAAAAGGAAAGGACCTGTAGTTTTCCATGCTCACATGCTTTCCCTGCAGAGCACCAGGCTGGTTATCTGCACTTTCCTTAAGAAGCCCTAATGTGCCTAGAAATTACATTTCACATATGTACTATATATATACACAAAGTGCTAGTGGGAGGGCCTTGCAGCAGTTTAGTCACACTGCAGAATTTAAGATTGGTGGTAACTGCAAAAAATTAGGTTTAGATGAATTGCATGATTTTTTTCCACTCCCAGAGACTTCCTCTTCCAAGTCCCATAACCATCCCAAATAAGCAAACCTGCTGGAAAATGCCACGCTACCAAGTCACTTCAGTCTCTATGCAGGAGGAGACCTTGCTGCCACAGCCATCACCACTGGCAGCAGAGCCCCAGCCCACAAACCCCAGCCACCAGCTCTGGACCCTGGTGGCTCAGGGCTGCTCCAACACACGCAAGGGTGCTGCATTCTGTATTGCTCTGGACAATCTGAGGCATTTCTTCCAGGGAAGGAGAACATGGCCCACGTCAGTCCTTGAGAGGCATCAACCTCTATCTCCTCTGCTAGGGCTTAGCAAACTTGGGTGGGACAGCCCAGGGAAGATTTTGCTGTTTTCCCTGATGTTCAAAGCAGCTCACTTGGCCTCCTCTCTGCATGCATCCTGAGCATCATCTTCCCAGCTTTACCAAACATAAATCATGCTTCTCCAAGACCCAGACAGGCTACACCATTTCCCAGAGCCAAAACCAGGCAATCCCAGACAAAGCAAAATTGTAACATATTACTGCCCAGAAAGACTCATGGTGTGAAAATTAATAGAGGTGAGTAGTTTGCAGCTGTCTCCCGTCTGCTGGTCTGCTTCAGGGGAAGTGATGCCCTCTGTGCATTGCAGCACAGTGTCTGGCACATCGGTCACAAGCTGTCATTTAGATTTATCCAAGTTCTTCATTTAATGTCTGACCAGTTGGGAAGCAGCTCAAGGCAGATCCCTGCAGTTTCTCCTTAAAGCTGCTTCAAGCAGCTCTCTAGCTTCAGTAATTAGTAGTGTGTTCAGCTAAAGCCCTGAACACACAGAACCCTGTGCTGATAAGGGACACTGAGCCCGCAACACCAGTGGGACAACGACAGCAGGAGCTACACATTGAAGGCATTGAGGTTCAAAACAAGTTTTCATTCTGAATTTTGAAATCCACAGGATTTTTAGGAATGTTTTTAAGTTATGGATCCTTTTGAAAAACCTTTACACTCCATGAGAGCACCTTCATCATGAAGCGATGCACACACAGAAACAGCACGGGAAGACACTTGCATGTTGGTCATGGGGGAGAGGAAGCAGAGTTGGTGTGAGGCAGGGAGCAGCCCTTGTACTTTCACACTGTAATTCACTTATTCATTAAGCAAACAAATCTCACTGGATACTCTACATACTATATAGTCTTCCACCCATATATCAACTTTTAATAACTTCATGAAGTTTAGGAGAAGACTTCACAGCCCACCACAAGCCAGGCCAGACCCAACCAAGCATACATTCCACCGTTGGAACATTCAACAAAACACCATGCAAAGTTAGCTCTCCTCTGCTGTCAAACCGACCAGCCGTTCAGCTCAGCACACCCCAAGCCACAGCAGTGAGGTGCGCTGAGGCTCTGCCATTTGCTGCACGTAGCATCCGCAGCTCACTGCCATCACTGCCTACAGCAGCACCTGGCCTGCATCACCCTGTCAGCCTCGTGTTTCAGCCCTCCTTGAGGCTGTTCAATTTCATGCACCACCACCAGTGACATATTTGGTGTTAGCTTGAACAACGATGCAGAAATTAAATCAATAGGCTTTGCCTAACAAAGGGAAAGGCCCCATCGGGCACAGCCGGGCTGTGGGCTGCTCACTGAGAGGAAAAGCTCCCAAACACCACGTGTAATATGGAGAAGGTCACGTTTAAGAGTCTGGCTGCATTCCTTCCCCACGAAGCAAGCAGCCCTCCTGTGCTGGGGCAGCACTCCAATACAAAGCATTCCTGCGCTGACCCTTCCCAGCACACACCTAGCACCGCGGCCATTCTCACGGTCTGTAGCTGCCACCATCACTGCACTCATTCCCAAAGACTAGCGATATCCCCCTAAAGCGACTCACGCCCCAAAGCAACCGCGAGCCGCCCCGCCCGGCCCCAGCACCTCCCCGCTCCCGAGTGACGCGAGGCGACGAGAAGCAAACGGACTCCAAACTTGGCTGGAAAACCTCAACACGCAGAAGGCTGCAAGCACAGCTCGATTTATTCTACGGAGAGGCACGGAATACACTTTCATCCCCCGTAGCGGCTCCGGCCAACGGCTCTCGAAACCCAGCCGGGGCGCACCGCATCCCGACGGCGGTCGGCTGCTGCCCCCCGGAGGCGACGCGTGCCCAGCACGGCCACCCCACGCCAGGCGGTCGCCGACTCTCAGATGTTCGCTTTGTACTTTCTAACTACAGGTTTTTTGTGGTTATTGGTTTTGTGGGTTGCTTCCCCCACCGGCACCACACTGCTAGCACTGGAAAGTTTTCCTCTTTCTATCTAAACGTACACCGGCGCAAACCAAGCCGCCCCCAAACACGCCCTACTGTCTGAAACAACACTGGAAAAAAAACAAAATAAGTACGGAAAAAAGTACCTGCCATGGAACGAACGACGAGAGCCACGTCACGCCAAGCACAGCAACATCTGTCCCTCCGAACGACTCGTGGGGGCAGCTGAGCCCTGCCGCCCGCTGCCCTTTAAGGGGAACGGGGAGATCCCACCCAGCGGGGTGGAGAATCCCGGCTGGGAACCGGGAGAGCGCAGCTGGGTCACTGCCCTGCAGCTGTGTGCATCCCGCAGGCTTCGCCGTGCAGCTCCTTTCCCCGGCGGTCGCTTGCAGCCCCTTTGGCTGCTGCCACGGTAGCAATGGGGACCGTGCAGTCACAGAAATGTATCGTTTAGATCAGCTGCAGGACAGAAAAGCATGACGTGTAGAAGTACTTGAAACACTAGAGTTGCAAAACTGAGAAATCCCCGTTTAACTGAGTGGCCCAGCTGAACGAGATCAGCACACAGCATCACCCTGATACTCGGCTGTATGCTTACCACAGGCAGTGGGAACAAATACACTAAACGTAATGCTTCTACTGCTTCACACAGTAAGGATTACAAATTCATTCTGGATGGAGCACAGGCAGCTGATCACGGTTTGAATTTACCTTCCAATAAAAACCAAGCAATCAGATGCACCTGCTTGGGTGCTGCCCCACGCTGGACCAAAGCGCAGGTGCGAGGCTGTGCAGGGGAGCAGCCTGTCCAGCCACCCGCAGTTCTCCTTGGGCTCTCAGCTGTGACAGACCCGGGGGTGCCAGCAGCACATCAGTGCTCGGAATTAGTTATTAACCGCATGTGTATTTACCCACAGTTTGGGACTTATTCCCCTTTCCTTCAAGATTTTCTGTGTTAAACCTTAACTGTGCATAATTTGCATTAAAAATCAATTTAAAGAAACGTGGTACCAAAGAACGATAACCATTTTTCAAACTAGGAGAGAAAGAACAAAGCCAATTTCCCAACTCGCTGCTCTCCCACAGGATGCTTAAGCTTCTAGCTCTCCCATTTCCATCTTATCTTCCAGGCACCTGGAGCAGCCCAGCAAACCATGGCCAGCTGCCCTGCATCAGCCCTTATCAGGGTACACCTGCAGGACCTCATTAGCACTGATTTTGGCTCCTAACACTAACACTGAGCTGCTGTAGTAACATTACCTTTTTAAAAGAAATAAAACCAAGCTTTCATCAACTGATGCTTGGGGGATCAGATGCTTGCATTCTGTCTCACCAGCAAGCTCCCTCCCATCTCTTCCTTCCCCCAGCCCAATCTGCTGCTCCAGGACAGGCAGCTGATTGGCAGCCTGCAAGAAGTAGAGACTGTAGGCCATTCTCTAGGTCCAGAATTGTTGTGCTGTGCCTTAATTTACGCCTGGCTTTCCTCCCACTGAGGAGTCCTGCTAGCTGTCCTCCAAAAGCACTACAGATGCATTTGATGTGGGGTGCTGGGGCCATGCTGGGGGCTGGTTGGGGCAATTACCAGGGCTCTGCCTCACACCTTGGAGAGAGCTGGAAAAATATTTTCCAGAGGTATTCCCCCCTTCTTCTTGCTTAAATACAAGCTTTTAATTCCTTCTGACACAGGCTTCCTGAAGGAAGAAATCAGGGGAACAAACCTTCAGAGGGCTCCATCTGATGGGGCAGTGGCACGTCCCAGAGCAGGCAGTGTTGCAGGATGCTGGCCACAGCCCTGTGACACAGATGTGGTCCTTGGTCCTTCCCAGCCATGCCAGCTTGAGCACAGCTGGTTAAGGTGCTTCAAAGGAAGTAAACGTAGGACTGACAAAAATATCTCCTGAATGGAGCTTTGCTGATAGTTTTCTACATCGTTATAAAATGACCCTTTTTTTCTTGTCATCTTGTAGGGCTGAATAAATTCAGCAGTGTCTGAGCAGAGCAACAGCGCAGTCCAGAAATCAGCCCAGCAATCAGAAACTGTTGTAACCGCCTGTGGTAACCTCTGCTGAGCCTTTCTTTAAATCACAAATGCACTGCAAGGAGGTGGAAAACATTTATCTTCATAATTGCCTTCCACTAGTCTGTCCAGCAGTGCAAACAGAAGAGCAGGAGGACCAAATTATTGCCTTCAGATGAAAAATGCAGCTGGAGAAATCTCTCTCCTGTTCTGCTTGGCCTGAGCAGAGCACTGTCCTGGGCTTTGGGGGACACCAGGCTGTCCTCCACACATCACCTCCTGATCCTCAGGATGAACAATTCCTTCCCACCAGCTGCTCCAGCCCTCCTGTGACAAACCCCGGGTTCCTCACACAGCACTGTCTCTGGATGCTTCCCACCTCCCATCTCTCAGAGCCATCCCCTGAGGCTGCCTGATCCCAGCCTCCTTCCCAGCCTGAGGGCCCTCACAGGAACAGCGGGAGATATTTTTAGCCTGTTTACAGAGAGCAGCACATTTGGGTCCAGCCATCCGGGCAGTGACATGGCAGCTGGCTGCTGGGGAAGGGAAGGGAGTCAGAAAGAGCACCAGAGCTGGGAGAGGCCACCAAGTGGGTGCTGGATTACTGTGAACACACCACAATTGATGCTGGAATGCGAGCAGATACCATTTACTGTTCCCTCAACTCTGGGATTTTCTGTTCCAGCCAGGATGTTCTGGTGTGGACAATGCTGTAGCTCTTCCCCAAATATGCTACAGGCAAATGCCCTTTGCACCGCCAGCACAACTCACAAAGCAGCAGCATTCATGAGGAGCGTGCTTCCCATAAGCAGGCCTATGTTAATTCCTTAGTGGGAACTACAGTCCAGGTGCCTCATTCCCATCAGCACAGGACTGCAGCTCCTCAGACCAACTTGAAGGCACCTTTCCCTCACACTCCTCCAGCAGACATCCCGTGTGGGGGTTCGACATGATTGCTGAGGGCTCACCACATTCACTGCTGTACTTGTTGCCTCTATAAAGGGAAAGTAAATAAAGCTGGTGCCTTGCAGACCCAATTTATGAACAGAAACGCAGGCTGGATCTGAAGCAGAAGACACAGGAATAAAGTCTTCTCGAAAGTGCAGCTCTCTGCTAACTGCTCCTGCTCCTTATGGACAAACTCCAGAACCATGGCTGGCACTGCTGAGGGAAGCCTCTATCACATCAGGTACCTTACAGAATAAGTTGTGGTATTTGTGGAGAATGCTCAGCACAGCAACACTCCATGTTCCTCCAGCACAATGCACCAAGCCTGCCTGGGAGCAGGGCAGGGATCTCCAAGCCTGTTTCCAATGCTGCAGTCGCGTGCTGCAAACCTGCATCCTGATTAAGATGACTTCATTAGTGTCTCTCAGCAGATGGGACCCGGAGGGCTGCAGCATGGTGGCTGGCAGGGATGACAGTCATGCAGAAGCTGTGAGCTGGAGCATTTTGCATCCTGTCCTCAGGGCTGCCGCATGCCTGCAGAGAGCAGTAGTTCTCAGCCAGGTGTAGCAATGTGCCTATTACAAAGCTACACACACCAATGGTTTTTTGGAATATTAGAGACTCAAAGTCAGCATCATGATCAACAGAAAGCATGAAGCATATGCTTCATTTCAAAGACATGACGTGATGAGAACTAAGCATTCCTTGCCAGCGTGTTCCAGGTACAGCACTAGGAACTGCTGAACCAGCAGTTCTGTATCCCATCAGGAATTACATCGGGCCCATTGGAGATGATGCTGTACATTTCTCCTCTAAAGAAAATTAGGATGTGGTTCAGAGAATGGGGAGTCACAGAGACTGAGGGAGACCAAGCCTGGGGATGGGCAGAGAAAAGTGGAAGAGAAAACACAGATGGAGATCACCTGCAGAAAGCAGCTCCACAAAAACCCATGGTTGCTGTGGGTGGAAGTCTGGAGCATTCACTGCAATTTCATGAAGTTATCACAGCTGTAAAAAAGAAAATCTGTGTAATAAGGCCACAACAACTACAACAAAAACTAAAGGAAGAAAGAAAAGTGAGACAGTGCACAAAAGGGAACTGAAGTTCTTCCTGCTATCTCTCTGACATGAGCTAAACTAAAACAGGATACAAGCTAAAAATAAAGCTACAGCTAGAGAAAAGCAGCAGGGCTGCTCCACTTTCTTAGGAGCTTGTCACATTCACATCTCTGTCCTGGGACTGCTGCAAGGGCTGAAATGCTTCCAGCAGCAGAAGGCAATTCTGGGATAGAGCAAACATTCTTTGTCAGCAGATGCATTTAGGAAACTTCGGCCTGCTTAAATTTTCCAGAATGTGAAAGAATCAGATCTAAACAACAAAAGCCAACAACTACTTACTGCAGTCCCTGCAAAAGCGATCTGACAGTGTCCATGGAATTAAAGGTCAAGATACAACTATTCTCACATAGCATTTAGCATTTCCCTTGCAGAGAACTTGAGAGTTTGCGCATCTGGATTTCATCTGCATCCAAGTGAGCTGTGGGTGGGTGAGTCTGTACTTCAGTTACAGTGTATTTTGATACTGCTGCTCTGCATTATCTCCCAGAAATGTTTTAAGGGTGTGTGAGCATATGTGCTCTATTAGAAATAGAAAAAAGGGAAGGGAAGGGAAGGGAAGGGAAGGGAAGGGAAGGGAAGGGAA